CAAACATGTTGGAACAGCCACATAATAAGGCAAAAACCACCACTTAGCTGAAGCAGAACATGGGAGCCAGAGCAAAAGAGAGAGGGCACCACACGCTCTCACTATCAGCAAGAACCAACGGTGGAGCAGCCGGCTGACCCGGTCTGCTTACCTCCCCCATCAAACACGGTGGGGAAGGAGGGGTGAACGAGCTTGCACTAGTTTCATGAATTTTCTATTGTTTATATTGCTGTGGAAATTCTTTTGCTGATTTTGAGGCATCAATATTTCCTTATAACCAGAAGTGGTCTGTTTTGTTTTGCTGCAGTTGTGGGTGCTTCCCTGGTGGTGGCAGACATGATTAACCCTTAAACTGTGCAATACATCATATGATGTGTTGAGTAACTGTCGCAAAATTGCGCACCACATCATTTGTTTTGGAGTACCGAGCAAGATTTAAAAGTCCCGTGGCTACACGGGGTTCACATCTGCTTCCTAAGGGCACTTGTAAACAGATGCCATTTTTTTTTTTTAAATCGTGGGCAACATTCCCAGGTGTGAGAGCCTCAGTACTGAGTGAGCCACCAAGGCTGGCACATGCAGCATGAGCTCACAGCAATGCTATTCAGCTTGTGACCACAGCATCGCCTAAAAAATAAAAAATATACTGGTAACGGGTATTATTTAGTGATGATAGTACAGTACTGTATTACAGAAGACCCCTGACTGATAAAGTCCAGGATACTGATAATAGCAGGATTGTTGGGATAATTTGCTCTCTGCATAGTATTGTGGGAGGAGTAATGTTGAGGGAGGGAAGGTGGTGGCGTCATCTGCCGAATTTGTGTAATTACCTAAGTGTAGTTACAGGATGAGAGCTACGCTCGTGGTGTCCCATCTACCCAAAACTGTCATATAACGCTTTAAAACTACTGACGGTTTTGGCCTCCACCACCTTCTCACTTAACTTGTTCCAACTTTCTACCACTCTGTGAAAGTGAATTTTCTTATATTTCTTTGGCATCTTTTTTTAGTTAGTTTAAATCTATGACCTCTTGTTCTTAAAATTCCAGGTCTCAGGAAATCTTCCTTATCAGTTTTATCAATTCCTGTTACTATTTTGTATGTAGTGATAATATTGCCTTATTTTCTTCTGTCTTCTAGTTTTGGCATATTTAATGCCTCTAACCTCTCCTCATAGCTCTTGCCCTTCAGTTCTGGGAGCCACTTAGTAGCATGTCTTTGCACCTTTTCCAGTTTGTTGATGTGCTTCTTAAGATATGGGCACCACACAACTGCTGCATATTCTAGCTTTGGCCTAACAAAAGTCGTGAACAGTTTCTTTAGTATTTCGCCATCCATGTATTTAAAAGCAATTCTGAAGTTAGAAAGCGTAGCATAGGCTCCTCGGGTGATAGTTTTCTATCTAGAACCACCCCCAGCTCTCTTTCTTTATCAGAATTTTTTTTAAAGATTTCTCACATAATTTATAGGTTGTGTGGGGTCTATGTTCTCCAATTCCACATTCCATAACTTGACATTTATTCACATTAAATTCCATTTGTCAAGTGGTGCTCCATATACTTATTTTGTCTAGGTCTTTTTGAAGGGCATGACAATCATCCAAGTTTCATATCCTTCCTATTATCTTAGCATCATCAGCAAACATGTTCATATAATTCTGTATTCCATCTGGTAGATCATTTATGTAGACAATGAACATCACCGGTACAAGAATTGAACCCTGTGGTACTCCACTTGTGACATTTCTGCAGTCCAATACATTGCCTCTTATTACTGCCCTCATTTTTCTATCGGTCAGAAAATTTTTCTTCCATGTTAGAAGTTTACCTGTCACCCCTCCAATATTTTTCAATTTCCATAACAATCTCTTATGTGGAACTGTCGTAAGCCTTTTTTTAGGTCCAGATAGATGCAATCAACCCAACCATCTCTTTCCTGTAAAATCTCTGTGGCTCGATCATAGAAACTGAGTAAATTTAATACACAGGATCTTCCAGATTGAAAACCATACTGTCTGTCTGATATATAATTTCTCTTGTGTTCTACCCATTCAGTTTTTATTACTTTTTCCAATATTTTGACTATTACACTTGCCAATGATACAGGTCTATAATTGAGGGGGTCTTCCCTGCTGCCACTTTTATAGATTGGAACTATGTTAGCCTTTTTCTACACATCTGCTATGACTCCTGTAAACAGGTATGTCTGAAAAATCAGCTGAAGTGGAATGCTGAGCTCAGGTGCAACCTGTTACTGTCTGCACTCACCATACCAGCTTAGTGCTTCGCTATGGTGAATTCAAATGTAGATACTTATATATAACATGTATAGTGTAATAACAGCAAAAGGAGTGTGATGGAAGAAGCCATTTTGGTGAGGAAGGTGGCATCATCGGCATGACTTGTCATGCTGCGTAGAGGGTGGCCACTATGCTCTTTGGGCATCATACCAGCTTAGTTGCACAGTTATGGTGAACAAAACATGTATTTATATATATAACATCAGTATATAGTGTAATAACACCACAAACAATATAGTTGGAGGAGGAATATTAGTGCGTCTGACCTTGAACCAGTGAAGGAGGGAGGGAGCATCAGCTGTGTGTGGCAACCTGTGTCGTCTGAACTCACCATACCTGCTTAGTTGTACAGTTATGGTGAACAAAACATGTAGATACTTGTATATAATGTCTGTATATAGTGAATAAAAGCAAAAACAGTATGATGGGAGGAGGATGTTGGCGAGTGTGGTGTTATTGAGGGAGGGAGTGGTGGCCAGTGGCTGGCTGGCTGGATGGCGGGGCGGCCACTACTCGCTGCTTTTTGACTCACCGTACCAACTTAGTGATTTGTTATGGTGAATAAAACATGCAGATACTTATATATATAACCTGTGTATATAGTGTAATAACAGCAAAACTATTTGTTTACCGTTTTATGAAACATAATTGAATCACTGATATGCTCACAATACCTTTGAGTATAGCGATGGTTCACACATTTTATTATATAAATATGTCACACTACACACTATTGAATATTATTACTGAAAAAAAAAATTCAAAGACATTGAAATAATTAGGTAATAATATTTTTGTGGAAACTCCCACCTGACAGTTTGGGTGGAGCTGACCACCTCTGATGATTACTCCGTCAACGCCTCACTTTTGCCAGATTTCCTCGATCTATTACGGCCAAAAAATATTACCTACTTTTTTTTTTCCCCCTGTGATCAGGGAACACAAACACTTTTATAAGACGAAATATTTGTTTGATTTTTTTTTTGTGCCTGGCGAGTGTTGATGCCCTTAAGGCCCTGAGCAGCTTAAGGGTTAAAATTCCCTGACAATTTTATCATACTGCCACTGCTCCTGCACCTCTTTAGAGGGGACCAGGTTCTGACTTATGGTCTCCAGTAGGCCTAAAAGAAGTCCATGATTGATGGCACTTAGTACTTTGTTATTGTATCAGCACTGGTGCTTCAGGGAGCCACAAGGGTCTTCCCGCAGAAAAATATATATGGAGACAGACTGTCTTCTTGGAGACAGATCTATATATTTATATTTTATTTCTTTTTACTTTGTATAATCCATACATTGCTTTGAGTTGCATGTGAATATCTAATCTGTAGAGACTTATCTCAATGAAAATATATCAATAAAATAGTCTTTTATCACTACAAAAACTGCATAGTGTAAATAAATAAAATTTTAATTGACGGTCATTGATCCCCAGTTACAAACTTGAATGTCATCCAAAACTTGTATGCAGTATGCTCTACAATACACATGAACCAATATACATCATTCATATTTCCTAAGATTCCCAAAATTTTACTCATCATGTAACAATTTACCCAAGGGCCACTAACACACTAGTGGCCTCGTTGAAGTTACCACTACACCAGTCTCCATGGTGTAGTGGTAAGACACTCGCCTGGCATTTCGCGAGCGCTTTGTCATGGGTTCGTATCCTGGCCGGGGAGGATTTACTGGGCGCAAATCCTTAACTGTAGCCTCTGTTTAACTCAACAGTAAAAGTGTGTACTTGGTTGTAACAACGATTCTTCGCGGTGGGGATCGTATTCCAGGGACCTGCCCGAAACGCTACGTGTACTAGTGGCTGTACAAGAATGTAACAACTCTTGTATATATCTCAAAAAAAAAAAAAAAAAGAAAGACAGGAGCTGTCAAAGTTCAGATTCAGGTGGCTTGTCAAAGGTCCTCCCCCATTTGTCCTGATTATTTTTTCAAGCTGGACTTTAAAGCTCAGCAGAGTTTTGGCATTTATGGCTTCAGCGAGTAAGCGGTTTCATGGATTTATAACCCTGTGGGCAAAAGGCATCTGTTTTCAATCCTACATGGTGTCTTGTTGAACTTTAAACCGTTACTCCCTGTTTGCGTTACATTTGACCTTTTAAAGAAGTTGTGCTGATCAACATCCTCCAAATTGTTCAGTATTTTAAACATTTCAATGAGATCAGCCTTATCATATCTTTAGCACTCTTAAAACATTTAGTCATACTATAATTCATTTCATTTGATATTTTAATTTTATATTATCCTCACACTCTTGGTGCCTTTCACAATCCCACTTCTTATCTCAATAAAATCCCTCACCCGCTCAATTTTTAAGACATCTCCCCTCATCAAATTTCATCATAAACGTTTATACATTAAAATATTCAACTACCGTATCATGATGCATGGAAAAATACTGTAAATAAATACAGTTCAGTACTGTAGTTCTCCAAAAGACTTTTGGAGTCAAGGAAAAGGAGCACTTAAGAATGTATCTACAGTTGCAATGACCCAGTTTTTAATGGCATAACACAGAAATTACTGGTCAGACTGAAACGAGGTCAGTACTCCCCAGAACCGCCTCAAGGTAAACTCGAGGCACAAACTCATGAATTTCTATAAAAGAAGCTTCCACCAGTATCAAATATTTTCCTGGCTCACACCATATATTTAATTAAATGAAACCTCTGAAGCTTACCTGAGGGTTTGGTGAGGTTGGAGATCCCTCGCTTCACCTCCTCCAGGTCTTTGGATGATGGCTGGAAAGAGTCTGAGACAAACTCGCTCTCTCCTCCATGACTAGGGCTGTCTGGGTGGTCCACATCATCATCCTTACCCTTTGTTCCTGAGGAGATATTTACACTGAAAAAACCAAATGCAGTTTGTAGAAAATTTCAACTTCAAGGGACCAGGTTTTGTAGATTTGCATTTTTCTTACGGTTGCTTACGCCTCTTAAGAATTTGCAACCATAAAATGATGATAGACTTGCATTTCCTATATACAGTACTGAATATCCTCTGTGCAACCTCTCACAATTTAGCAAGTCAGGCAATAAGACATTCTTTCTACTATCATTCCTTTGCTCAAGATCGACTAACCTCCCTTTACCCCCCCCCCACACACACACACACAAACACACACTTTACTCTCTTAATTTCGCTCTCTAATCTTCTACTTCAAACTAGTGACAAATATTTTTGTCTCACTGCACTTGTACACAAAAAACTTGGGAATTATCTGAAAAATCAAGCATTGAATGTAATGAAACACCCTTTTCTAGGGGGCCCTCGGTAGCTTTACAAGCTGAAATCTGCTACAACCAAGCTTTAGCCCAATGCACCATTCCTTTGAGGCTCGTTAGTTACCTACCAGAAACCATGGGCCAGATTCACGAAGCAGTTACGCAAGCAGTTACGAACCTGTACATCTTTTCTCAATCTTTGGCGGTTTTTAACAATTATTAAAGTTAATAAGCTCTGAAGCACCAGGAGGCTGTTTATAACAATAACAACAGTTGATTGGGAAGTTTTCATGCTTGTAAACTGTTTAATAAATGTAACCAAAGCCATCAAAGATCAAGGAAAGATGTTCACGTTCGTAAGTACTTGCGTAACTGCTTCATGAATCTGGCCCCAGGATCAGAATCTGATTTGCACTGTAAGGTGAGGAAACAGAAGATGAGATATTGACCATAAAACTAGGAAACCCCACCAAAAAAAAAAAAGGTGAAAAAGTTTTCACAATATATACTATATAGTGTACAATATTTTGTATACTCAAAATCCACACAGTAAGGAAGAACTTGAACAAAATTAGGAATTCCCTGATAAAACGAGATAAACAATCATTATTGCACAGGAAATATCCTCCCTGTGATGAGCCTGACCACCAACAGATGACAGCCCAGGTCACCTGAGGCTTCAGCCAGCCTGTTCCTTCACCTTAGAGCTGCCTGTGTAAAACATCATAACCCCATGGGGAAGAAAGAAAAAGGGCAAGGTATGCTACCACACAAATGCCAACTACACTGTGGAAGTGCAGTCCCCAGAGGGCTGACTCAGGTAGAGAAAGAGAGGGCAGCTGAGCAACCCCAAACCAGACCCAGTCCAGCCAGACTTAGGGCACATGGCACAAAAGACACCAACTAGGACATCTAGTTCAGCGGGCCCCAACCTGTGGTTTGCAGGGAAATGTTCGTGGGCCGCAGAAAAATCTGGACATTATTTTCATTTTATATGTTTTATTAATAATAAAACAAAAATAATATTCTAAAAAAATTCTTATATTCTGAATGTATTATTTTATTTGTGTATTGTTTGTGACAGTGTACCGTATTTTCTTAATCTTTTATATTTAATGGCATCAAATATTTTGACTTTAATAACTATCATTTCTTGTTTGATTTCAGATTCAAATGCAATAAACCCATAATGAGTGAACAAAACAGCAAAGGAATATTTTGCATTTCTTTAGTACAGTACTACAAAATATACTATAGCGAATGATAATAATAACAATAGTAATTTGTGTACTTGACTTAACTGTGAGCTGATCAATGATTCAGAGCCTCCACAGTCCTCATCAGCCACCATTAGCAAGAACATTCCAAATGAAAAGCAGAGAAGTAGAAACTCAAAATATCAAGAAAATATGATTCAAACTACATTCTTGAAATTTAGATTTATTCAAGAACCTGGTAGCGAGCTGCAACCACGGTCACTTCGAGTTGTGTGTTCAGAGTTTATCCATTGATGCCATGAAATCAACAAAACTCGAAAGACACTAGCAATCAAAACACCCAGATTTAGCTAGGAAACCACTTGAATATTTTAAAAAAATGTGTGAAAATGTGCAAAAGCAAGTAATTTCTTTAATAAAAATGACTGTTAGAGATAAGTCCTTATTAAAGGCTTCTTATCTGATAGCACTTCAGATCGCGAAAAAGCCATATGCGATTGGAGAAGAATTAATTAAGTACGTTACAAGCTGTGAAGAGGTTTTGGGAAAGCAGGCTGTCCAGACACTGAAAGTAATTCCTATGTCCGCAAACACTGTCAACCGCAGAATTGAAGACATAGCTGAAGATATTGAAAATCAAGTAATAAAAATGGTGAAGAATTCACCATTTTATTCAATTCAACTTGACGAATCAACAGCTGTAAGTAACAAGGCACTTCTGCTTTGTTTTGTGAGGGTTGAATGTGCAGGAGAGTTACAGGAAGAACTGCTGTGTTCCCTCAACTTGCCAGGTGGAACAACTAGCACCGAGATTTTTAAAGCACTTAATAGTTATTTCTTGGGACACGGAAATGAATGGAAAAAATGCATTGGAATATGTATAGACATGACTGGACATCTTTCAGAAATTGTTGCAAAGGTGAAAAATGTTGGTCACCCAGACATTTTTGTCTACACACTGCATTATACAGCGTGAGCAACTTGCGGTGAAAAATGTCCCCAGAACTACATGAAGTATTATCAGATGTTATTAAAATTATAAATGAAATTCAACACTAAGTGCTCAATTCTCGAATATTTGAGGCACTCGGTGAAGAAATGGGTTGCCAGTATACTCACCTTCTTCATGCTGAGGTGAGATGGCTGTCGAGCGGCAAAATACTAACTCAACTGTTCACCCTGCGTGAAGAAGTCAAATTATTTTTCAAGCAGCAAAATAATCCAAAATTTCAAGAACTCTCTTTTTCCGACGATGAGTGGGTAGCCAAGCTTGCATACCTGGCAGATATTTTTTGCTGTTAAACTAAACATATCCTTGCAAGGGAAACCAAAGGACGTGTTCATACTACGAAGTAAAACAGATACTTTTCAAAATAAAATACAGTATTACTGTGGCAAATGCAGTTGGCTGAAGAAGATCTGCAAATATTTTCAAATTCTGATGAATATATGAGAGAGAAGGATGTCAACTGGCAGGTAGTAACCATTGTTCAACAGCACTTACAATCACGCAAAGAATCATTTGCTCATTAAAACCAAAAGAAAGAGGATCCCAGAAGTGGCAATATGTGGATAATAGATTCATTTGCAGCAAACAATGAAGATAGCAATTTGAGCAAAAATTAAAAAGAAAGACTCGTCGATCTATCATCCGATGACAGTCTCAAAGCTAAAATCCAATCCTCCTTATCAAGACCTCATTTTTGGCTCTCCATAAAGCCAAAAGGTGTGTGTGCCAGTCACTACTCGTTGCTTTTTGACTCATAATACCAACTTAATGGTTTGTTATGGTGAACAAAATATGCAGATACTTGTATATAACCTGTGTATATAGTATAATAACCGACAAAGTATTTGTTCACTGTTTGATGAACATAATTGAATCAACACTATGCACACCATAATTTTGAGTACAGCGATGATTCACTCATTTTATTATATAAATATATCACACTCCACACTATTGAATAATATTACAACAAAAAAACTACAAAAAATCAATCAGAGACATTGAAATAATTAGGTAATTACTGTATCTCTTTGTGGCCACTCCTGCCTGACAGCTGGGAGCAACAGATCGTCTGGGACGCACACCGAGTCAGCACCTGTTTTTTGCCAGACTTCCCCGCCCTATAGCAGGCAATATATGCCACTTACGATTTTTTTTTATTTTTACCATGATCAGAGAACACAAATTAACAGGTTTAGAAGAAAAAATATATATATTTTTTTTGGTATGTACCTGTGGGTGACAAATGCTAATTAGCCCTGAGCAACAAAAGGGTTAAAAATAATTCATATTTTTTAATTCATATAAAAAGTCCGTGATATTTAAAATTATGAATTTAGTGGTCCACGAGGTTTGAAAATTGGCGACCGCTGTCCTAGTTGACCAATATGCCAGAGCAGGCCAACTGGAAAAGAACTAGAACCCTCGCCAACATACACTCTGGATGACTGAGGGCCTAAAGGAGTCAGTCACTGAGTCTGCCAAAATGCAGATCCTCTGATGATGAAGACATTGGAGGACCACCAAGACAATCTGGGAAAGATTTGGGGGCCAGAGAGAGACACCAAAAGGCAAAGCTTGAAAAGGGTAGAGAGATGCCCCACTCCAAACCACAGCCAATCCTAAACTCAAAGAAAAGGGATGGACCAAGAGGCATCCCAGAGGTCCAGAGAAACAAGCAAAGTGATGCCAGAAACAACCTAGCAAACCTGGTTTAAGGTAGATAACCAAAATGTGGGACAAGGAAAGACTCCATGAAGAATAAACTTGTCTAACAAAGTGTTGCTCCTAAGAAACCCTCCAGAGTATGGGAAGGAAGTGGTGCATCCTCAATAAGGATGGAGTCACAGCAGGCACATTCTCTATGAACAAGACAAGAACAATGATGTGGAACAGGGGCATAAACTTCATAGCATACCCTTCAAATACTAGAGAGGAAGGAGGATAAAAACCACTTCAGGACCTTGGGATGCCACCTGAAATGTCCAGGCAGCCAAGGACTTGGTGGAACAAACCTCACACACTGCTAGACCTGTGTGAATGTTGAAAATTGTCTTGTGGCCCCCTTCCACCATCACAGCACAGCTAATGAAGCACCACTCCAGCCACAGGGTATTAGTGGTGGGATGAGATAGCTTGAATTGGTTCACATTAACAGGCTCCACAGGAAAAGAATAAATCCTTGGGGAGAAGAACAGCTCCAAGAACCCCATCAAGCAGGTATCTCATGATCTACCCAGAACAAAGGAAACTAGAGGAGGCAGATCTTTGAGGTGGTAGCCCACAACCCTTCAGAGCAGGTATCTAGTGAGGCACAGGGTTACACAGGCTAACTCTAGAGAAGGTAACCCTGGCCACAGTCAGACCAAAATTGAATTTTTTGAAACATGCAATATGGGTGGTATAAACAATCAAGAAGCTTAAATAAAAATAAACAAAGGAACATCCCCTGGCAGAACCAATGTTCTATGGACTTGGCTGAAAGCGGGAAGATATTGAGGGGCTCTGCAGATGTCGCCAGGCATTGAGCTGGTGACAGCAGGCAAAAACTGTAAGAGGGCAGGCTGATATAGGCCTCAGGTAACCTGGGATACCATCTGGGTGGTGGTCAGGTGCATCAGTTAGGGTATTTTCCTGATGGGTTTTGCCTTGTTTACCTTGGGGTTCCTAATTTTCTTAATGCAATTGCTTATTTTATTGTACCTATACTATCTGGTGTGCTTTCCTCATTTTTGTAGATGATCACTGATCCCCTGCTCCCCCTCACCTTGTAGAGTGACCCAGATTGTGGTAGGTGGCAGATGGGTCTCAGAAGCCTGTGTGTTGGGCTAATGCTTGGAGGACCAGAATTAAGCTCAGAATTACAGAGACTTTTTTCAAGATATACTCTACTAGAATAAATTTAACAATACATATATCAACAACTGCTGGCCACTCCAAGTGACAGCCTTTTAGATCAAGTTATCACAAGATAAGCCTGGTACTAGGCCAAACTACAGGAGTATAAGAACTCTCAGAATAAACTAATGAAAAACTACAGGTAAACAACCAAAATGTATTCAAATACAGTACGGTATTATTAACTACTGCATTGTGCATATATTCGGATAATGTTCAAACTAACCCCAACTGAACACAGTATGATACTCATATATTGTACTGCATTGCATATACATACTGTAATGTAACATGTTTCTATCTTCTTGGAAAAAACTCCAGTCATAATATTATTATAAATTAGATTCCAATTTTTAAAGTCACAGTGTAGCTGTTTTCGCATAACTTTGTAAATGATGATAAACACAGCATTTGAATAATTCAGCATATATAGTCAAGTGACTATTTCATTCCATTTACAGTATTTCTGTACAACTAACTGTACATGCCTTCTATCATGTGCATCAGTACACATTGTACAGGTCTTCTTATTTACACTTGTAATGCCTTGTTCCCACTGGGAATTCTCCTTCCTTGAGGGGGGTAGTCTTGTGTGCAATCTTCTACTTTCAAGTGTTAGGCTCTTAAAGGAATACTTCAACATACATTGAAGAACTTTACAGAATGGTCTGGTCATCCATTAGGTGAAGCAATCACCAACTGCACTGAGAATAACAATACAGTATTGGGAAATGATGAGGAAGTAATGTAAAAGATAAAGCAATGATTAGGAGAAAAAGACGAGAGGCAAGGAAGAGACACAAGACAGAATGAGAAAGTATCGAGGACAATGTTAAAAGTAAAAAAAAAAAAGTGACAAAATAATGTCTAATTTTGTCCATATTTCTTGAAATTTAACTTTTTTTTCAATACTGATTCCATATGCAACATGTAATATTTGCATGAATACTTTTATTTTCAGACATCCCATCACATAACTATCACAATAAAACACACATTATCCATCATCATATTTAGCACTGAATGTGCACACACAATTATACAAATGAAAGCATTGTGCACAATAGTTTTTTCAAGATAAATAAATTAGAATGTACATACGTAAATTTATGAATTTGATATGGTTTTTTGTGCTCTCTTCCATTCTGCCTCTCTCTTACCCCATTCTGAGCATAAGTAAATGAACCAAACAAATTATGTCTTGTAAGAAAGAAAGAAAAAATTTTTGCCAATTTACATAAGTACAATAAAGTGCCTGGATGACTAACACTGCTTGAAAGCTACATAGGTACAGCACTGCATCAACATTAATTATTAATATTAAGTCATAGTAGTGCCAAAATCCATATATACCCTTATCTCCATCAGACGTAGTCTTGCTAGCAGCATCCACACCTTCCCTCTCCAGAGATGACAGCTCTGTGCTCTGCCTGATGAGCCCAACACGATAAAAGTAGTTCCTCCAGAAGGTCTCTTCATTGATCCTGTCAGATACATATTGTCAACAGTGTCATTATCACTTGAGAACTGTTGCCAAATATAAAGACTAACATTGACTCAAGAAACATTCTAAAATATATGTAACTTCTGCAAATATGTCATGTATAAGAGGGCACCTACATCCACGCAGCATCATAAACTTATTAAAAGGTATGTGATAGAAAAATCACAATATAAATTCACAAGCGATATTAAAATACAACAAGTCTAGAAACGGAAGAAGGAATTATCAGGATTATTTACTAGGCAGCATAATGAATATACAGCAAGACAAATGAAAATAAATAAAATGCAATATAAAAAAATACTGTATGTGTCATCAGTAACCCTTGCTGTTGCAAAACCATAGAAATGTACAGTATATTATTTCCATCAATTAACAATGGCAGAACAGTACATGTACAAAAAATTAAAATGGGATATAATGGAGAACAAGGAATTAAAAATAACGATAAAAGTAAAAGAAATTATAAAAAAAAGCTAAGGTATCTGAAGCTAATAAAAGAAGCAAGGGTTTATGTAAGGGTTTTCATATTCAGTAAGTCATATAATCAAAAAGGTAAACAAAAATGACTGGTCACATAAATTAATATCAGTAAACAAATTAATAACCAAAATTTAATCTTACTGTTGCACACTGGTAAGAGGTAAGAGCAACAATTGTGTTTATTAAAATTCCTGCACACCAATCATGTAATTATAGAACTGACAAATTATGTATGTGAAAGGGTATGAAGAGAATAAAGACAAGAAAAAATGAGAAACGAGGAAGTGCAGTAAAGCATCTGGTGGGCTAGTAAATGGGAAGATAAAAATAGACATAGGAGAATGTTAAATGGTAAAGAAGAGAATATCTTGAGAAACTAGCAAAAAGAGATGTTAATGTCAACATGAATGGATTGTGTGAAAGAGTGCAAGATAGCCTGCCAACCATCTGCCAATTGACGCATACATCAACGAAGCTCACATGTGAGGAAACTGCACGTTGTCGAGATATACAGTATGAAGAGTCAAAGATGCAGGAATAAAGAGGGTGAAAGACTGTCAGAAGATACAGATATTTTAACAGCTGAGATAATATTTATGTAAACTAGATGAAGCCTTTTTTCATGTGCATGTAGAAAAAGAAACTGAAATGAGTGTGAATGTGAAGTGCTTTAAATGATTAATCAGTTTCTATACTTATGATGTGTGATTGATAAAATAAGTAATGTGTGAAGTCAGAGTTGACAGTAGGCTCAGTCATGGAAGGAAAATGGCTGGTGCAGTGGGAGAAGGAACGAAAAAAAAAAGGTTGCCAGTAGGCCTAACAGGAGTGACCCAGTAGTGGGGAGCCAACCCTGTGAGATAGCTTCAGAGAGCCACCTGCTCTGCAAACACAAAATGTAACTGGTCCTATTTTCCATTTCTTACAACTTGTAATAAAGTTATTACATCTTGGTATGACGTTTTTATGATGTATTAAAATGTCGATACAACTTGTTATATTGGTTGTTACAACTTGTTAGGTGTTAAAACTTGTTCGAACTTTGTAGCAACGTCGTAGTTTCGTTGTGTGTTTGGCAGGTGAGCTCTACCCGAAAAAGGTAAAGCTTTTTTTTTATGAATAGAGCAGTGCATAGTATATTATTTCAGCCTAACATGCCTATAACTGTACTGAAGTTATCATGATAATTATAAGTTGGTTTCTGGTGCGATTCCTCAAGAGTAAACACAGTAATACAAATCTACTGAGAAAATGTCCCTACATCTGGGAAGAGGTTTATGGAGACCTTAGTGAGGAAATGTATCCAACTGAGGGGGAGTAGAAATAGCCTAAGCTACTCTACCCCTTTGAGATGTATTTCTTTCTTATCTCAATAAACATACTTGAATCCAACTACAGGTAAATTTAAGATGAAAGTGAGGTGGTATCTGTGACATAGAGAGTCTTGCTGAAGACTGTGAGGATGTATTAAAAGTTTTTCTATGAGCCACACACATAGGCTACATAGTGGAATAAAACATGTATGATTTAAACAAACAGAAAAAGCTATACAGTGACTTTTCCACATCACTGTTACAAAACCACACAAATACTGAGATGAATATTGTATATCCTGATGTCTCTTGATCACTGCTATCAATACTGTAAGATGTAAATACAGTATTTTAGTATTCATGTATTAACTGTTTAACATTTAGCATTAATACAATACTTTTGTTTTAAAACTCCATTATTCTCTTTTTTGTTACATATTAATATTTATCAGTGTATTTCCATATTTATATTTATCAGAGAATTATTGGGAAATATAAATAAATATATTGATAAATAAACAACCATAGACACCCTCCCTGCAGTTGACTCGAACCCAGAAAGTACAGCTGTTCGCGCAGCTGCCATAACTGGTACGCCTTAATTGACTACATCACTCGGACCCTTCAAAAGGGATGGAAATTTCGGATTATTTCCGCATCAATCTCAATCCCCCGAGGGCACCAGAGCAGTGTGTGATCAAATCTACGTTTTTCATCAAGTAACTGCATTAACTTTTACTTTTTGGGTTCGAGTGAACTGCAGGGAGGGTGTCTATGGTTGTTTACCAAAAAACTTGCGAGTTTATGCAAGTATATTGTTGTGAATGGAGACACGCATTCTCTCTGTTAATTATTGCAGTTACTTGATGAAAAACGTAGATTTGATCACACACTGCTCTGGTGCCCTCGGGGGATGGAGATTGATGCAGAAATAATCCAAAATTTCCATTCCTTTTGAAGGGTCCGAGTGATGTAGTTGATTAAGGCGTACCAGTTATGGCAGCTGCGCGAACAGCTGTACTTTCTGGGTTCGAGTCAACTGCAGGGAAGGGTGTCTATGGTTGTTTACCAAAAAACTTGCGAGTTTATGCAAGTAAATTGTTGGATATTGATAAATATACATACAGTACAGTATTTATATTTATCAGAGAATTTTCGGGAAATATAAATATTTCCCGATAATTCTCAAGTTACTGTGCAAAGTACAGAGCAAAAAATACTTGGCTAATACTGTAAAGTATTTATATATTTTCTTGTTCAGACAGAAAACATGCATTTACTCTAGTAATGAAAAAATACAAAGAAACATGAAAGTTTAAGCCAGATTTTACCCCTGTAGTACACAGTGATACTTGCAGTGTACACTGCATGTTATTTTAATGTTGTCTTGTCTCTTAAACAAGACAATGTACACGGCATGTGTTAATATCCTGTCTTTCCTCTTACTTTAAACATAGCAAGTTTGAGTACTGTACTCAACTGTAAAAAAGTCACTTCTCTCTAAAATTCTCATACAACTGTATTTCCAGTACCCTAACATGAGGTGAAACAAATATACAAAACAATATTACAAAACCATTGTTCACATATTATTTATATCTAAATATAGGCAAAGATGTTTTAGCATTGCTATAATAGAACTTTTAAAACATTTTAAAACATCACAATACATAACCTACAATATTTAAATTTCTTATGTAAATAAATTATTGCCCTTGGAAAATATCCTATTTTCCTCGTTTAGGTCATTAAGAAAGTAACAGGCAGCACCATTCCATGCAGTCTTGAAGAAGAGCATCTCTTTAGATGTGCAAATCACTTGTACATAACATATATAATGCAACATTCTTAAACAATGATAAGATAAAAGAGCCGAAATAGAAGGAAGAAAAGAGCTATCATCGCTTATCATATTTGTTTAGATAACAAATTCTCTCAGAACAAACTGTACTCTTAAGGTTTTGTTGGAATGCCACTCTCTATCAAACCTGGTTAAAATCTGATCACAACTGTTTAAATTATTGAAATACTGTTGACCAGACCACACACTAGAAGGTGGAGGGACAACGAGGTTTCGGTCCGTCCTGGACCATTCTCAGTCGATTGAGTTGCGAGTTGTGAAATCGACTTGAGAATGGTCTTAGATGGACCGAAACGTCGTCGTCCCTTCACTTTCTACTGTGTGGTCTGGTCAACATACTTCAGCCACGTTATTGTGACTCATCGCCTGCATATTGCAATACTGATCCTAATCCTCACCTCTTATGATGTAAGTAAATATTAAATACTAGTATGGCTGAAATTTTCTAGTACAGTAATCCAATTTGCAATGTCTCATACTTTGCTTATTACTAAATTTTGTTGCAACCCAAGCATACTGTATTGAAAATTACTGTACTAAAAAAATATCAAGGATTCATACATATGTACAAATGAAAGAGACATAGACATGCAGCGCAGTTTGTCTCCCCTCTCCAGCTCCACTGCAAGTGATGGTAAAATCAAAACAATTGTTAAAATTATTATATCAAATAATATTTAAGATTTCATTTTGACAGCTTCAATGCTTCAATGTGAAGAATAATATCTGAGGCTAAAGATAAATACACAAATATAAAAATGATGGAGTTTTGAAGAGGATAATGGAGATGCTGGAATTGAAGCTTTACTTATCTCACAAGTACTAGCATGGCTTTAATGTTCAGTTGCCTCTCATAATAAGTATATGAAATATATGGCTCACCCAATATTATTCCCACATACAGTTACAAAAATGAGTTTCAAAGTAATGCATGTTTGTGACGTCAATATAGAGAGCAATATGGAGACAGAGTGATACTCAGAGTACTGTATCACTTGGTGTCTCAGAGTGACCCAATATAAATCTTATAAATCCAGAAGTAATTAGCATGCAAAAGCATGAGTATCACAATGTATCTGTTCATCCAATTTGCAAGCAAGCAAAACAAAATTTACCTCTCAAAGTATTTTTTTTTATTATTATAATTCACAAGATAACGGTACGAGCAAGGAAAGAGCTTACGTCTTGGGGACCAGTTCAAAGCGCATCTTCTCCAGGTTAGGGTCAGCAGCGAGGGTGGCCTGAGCAACAGGCAGGAAGGCCTCCAGCTCAAACTCGAAGCTCACGCCAGTAGGAGGACTACGAACAAAGTTCCGTCGATCCTGCAATGAACACTGCATTAACCCCCACAACACTATGTAATGTAGTATGTTAGTGGTACATTAATTCTGAATAAATAGTAAGATGGTGCTAAGTGCTGTATTTTTTTCATCAATGGCATATTGTAAGGAGCTAAGCAATAAATTACTGGGGCTTTGGTGGCTATGTGTGTGTGTTTAAAGAGACAGTATGTTTTGAACAAATATAAATCATAGATTGCACTTGGACACCAATTACCGTGATAATGTAATTAACTTTACAGTTTCAGAGGAAAAATGTATTTGAAGATTTATGAACAATATGGCCACCAAAACAACTAATCTTTTAAGTTTTAAGAAGAAAATTTGCAAATTAATCATAAAGGTGGGGATGTGTAGCCCCCCCATGAGGGGTGTGGGCCCCCCCCATTCCATGAGAGGTGGGGATGTGGAACCCCCCCATGAGAGGTGGGGATGTGGAGCCCCCCCCCCATGAGAGGTGGGGATGTGGAGCCCCCCCCCATGAGAGGTGGGGATGTGTAGCCCCCCATGAGAGGTGGGGATGTGGAGCCCCCCCCCCATGAGAGGTGGGGATGTGGAGCCCCCCCCCATGAGAGGTGGGGATGTGGAGCCCCCCCCCCCCATGAGAGGTGGGGATGTGGAGCCCCCCCCCCATGAGAGGTGGGGATGTGGAGCCCCCCCCCCCATGAGAGGTGGGGATGTGGAGCCCCCCCCATGAGAGGTGGGGATGTGGAGCCCCCCCCATGAGAGGTGGGGATGTGGAGCCCCCCCATGAGAGGTGGGGATGTGGAGCCCCCCCATGAGAGGTGGGGATGTGGAGCCCCCCATGAGAGGTGGGGATGTGTAGCCCCCCATGAGAGGTGGGGATGTGGAGCCCCCCCCCATGAGAGGTGGGGATGTGGAGCCCCCCCCCCCATGAGAGGTGGGGATGTGTAGCCCCCCCATGAGAGGTGGGGATGTGGAGCCCCCCATGAGAGGTGGGGATGTGGAGCCCCCCATGAGAGGTGGGGATGTGTAGCCCCCCCATGAGAGGTGGGGATGTGGAGCCCCCCCATGAGAGGTGGGGATGTGGAGCCCCCCCCATGAGAGGTGGGGATGTGTAGCCCCCCCCTGAGAGGTGGGGTTGTGGAGCCCCCCCATGAGAGGTGGGGATGTGGAGCCCCCCCCATGAGAGGTGGGGATGTGGAGCCCCCCCCATGAGAGGTGGGGATGTGGAGCCCCCCCCATGAGAGGTGGGGATGTGGAGCCCCCCCCCATGAGAGGTGGGGATGTGGAGCCCCCCTCCCATGAGAGGTGGGGATGTGGAGCCCCCCCATGAGAGGTGGGGATGTGTAGCCCCCCATGAGAGGTGGGGATGTGTAGCCCCCCATGAGAGGTGGGCATGTGTAGCCCCCCCATGAGAGGTGGGGATGTGGAGCCCCCCCAAGAGAGGTGGGGATGTGGAGCCCCCCCCCCCCATGAGAGGTGGGGATGTGGAGCCCCCCTCCCATGAGAGGTGGGGATGTGGAGCCCCCCTCCCATGAGAGGTGGGGATGTGGAGCCCCCCTCCCATGAGAGGTGGGGATGTGGAGCCCCCCCCCATGAGAGGTGGGGATGTGGAGCCCCCCCCCATGAGAGGTGGGAATGTGTAGCTTCCCCCCATGAGAGGTGGGGATGTGTAGCTCCCCCATGAGAGGTGGGGATGTGTAGCTCCCCCATGAGAGGTGGGGATGTGTAGCCCCCCATGAGAGGTGGGGATGTGTAGCCCCCCATGAGAGGTGGGGATGTGTAGCCCCCCCATGAGAGGTGGGGATGTGTAGCCCCCCCATGAGAGGTGGGGATGTGGAGCCCCCCCCCATGAGAGGTGGGGATGTGTAGCCCCCCCATGAGACGTGGGGATGTGTAGCCCCCCCATGAGACGTGTGGATGTGTAGCCCCCCCATGAGACGTGGGGATGTGTAGCCCCCCCATGAGACGTGGGGATGTGTAGCCCCCCATGAGAGGTGGGGATATGTAGCCCCCCATGAGAGGTGGGGATATGTAGCCCCCCCCATGAGAGGTGGGGATATGTAGCCCCCCCCCCATGAGAGGTGGGGATATGTAGCCCCCCATGAGAGGTGGGGATGTGGAGCCCCCCCCCCCCATGAGAGGTGGGGATGTGGAGCCCCCCCCCCCCCCCATGAGAGGTGGGGATGTGGAGCCCCCCCAAGCCCCCAACCCCCACCCTTCCGTGAGAGACAGGGTGAGGAACACGGAATATTTTGCATGTACAGTATTCCTAAATAACCTGAAGTATACGAAATCCCCCTTGGATCAATGCGGGTCACTTAATGCCTAACACCGCCAAAGGTTATGAAGTAGCTCGCCTTCTGTGGTCCAACACAAGCACTTTTATTATCAAGATAATGCCAGATGCCATTCTCTAATTATGTCGGTGAAGTCATCACGTAATACATGGTTGTGAACCCGTCCACAGAGGGAGCTCCACTGATCAGTATCAACCCCAAGTGTTATCATTGTCTAGTAAATGTCCGAGCACATTCTTACCTTAATGCTAGGCTGCCAAACAAGAACCTAAAATGATTGGAAATTGGCTACTCGGCTGCTTCACATGCCAATTTCTAGACATTTTATTTTGTATTTTTGTATTTTTTACCCACAGGTGGGTACAGGAACCGGTGGGTACTTCTGACTCCGGTTATCAGGCTGAGAGCTGTCCTTACCCATAGCGAGCCCTACCCCATTAGTTTTCCCTGTAACACAACCTGCTAATAAATGGCTAACAACCAGATAATAAATGGCTACTAACAGTAAAGGGTAAACAGCCCCTTTACTGCTGTGTGAACAGGAGTAAACAGTTAAGGATTGGTGCCCAGTCAATCCTCGTTCCTGTTATGAATATGTTCTATATATATGTGTTTCAAGTTTAAAATGACTGAAACGAGAGTTATGTATTTGTGATCTCATAATACTGTTAAAATTACCATGAGGAGCTAGAAATAGATCCACACGGCAAATACTGAGCCTAAGCAATCGCACAGGAAGTGCAAGTATGTTGTAGGGCGGAGTGTGAGACACTGATCAAACCCAGTCACAACACACTAATACACGACTCATAACTGGGGGTAAAGTGCAGGAACTTTATACAGCACAAGTGTAAAGTGTGCACTTGTGCATGGTGTAGTGGGGTGGATGACTGGGTGCAGGTGACGGGGTGGTAAGATGGTGAGTGGGAGGGTGGAGGGACTCACGGTGGAGAGCGCCAGGATCTCCTCCTTCAGACTGTCTTCGTCAGGGTAACCCACCCAGGGCGGCAGGGCCTCGCCGCCCTTGCCACCCTTAGCCTTGATGAACGCCTCCTGCTCCTTGTTGAACTCGGTCAGCAGCGTCTGCAACACAACCAACACACACATTACCATCACACCAATAACATCAGTAACAAATTAATTATATTACTGCAGCATTACCATTACTAATACTAGTATTATTAAGCATGTTTATATTATTATTTAGTAGACATTTATTACGCACCCCACAGCCATCCTGTGGGCGGTGGTGGACCCCCATGCCCATCCTGTGGGTGGTGGTGGACCACAGTTGCCCATCCTGTGGGTGGTGGTGGACCCCCATGCCCATCCTGTGGGCGGTGGTGGACCCCCATGCCCATCCTGTGGGCAGTGGTGGACCCCCATGGCCATCCTGTGGGCGGTGGTGGACCCCCATACCCATCCCGGGGACGGTGAAGGACCCCCATACCCATCCCGGGGGCGGTGAAGGACCCCCATACCCATCCAGTTCGCATATGCCAACTAATGATGATGTGACCCTTCAGAAAAATGCTCAAGGAACACTCAGAAATTCTCGACTCAGCAACTGGCGGCAGGAATTACAAATCCTAGACGTTATCCTCAAAGAATATAAACCGAATATCCACACACAAAACAATGCCTTTGGCCTCATTACCAACACTGTGGCCTATAGACCCTAAACCACTGGAGGAGGATGTTATAGCAGATAACCCCCCCCCCCACCACCACCACCACCACCACCCCCACACACATTTGGCAGCACCCGGGCCCCCGGTGCCCTACCCCCCCTACCTTGCGATGGGGGTCAGCGTCCCCGCGGCCCGGTCCTCGACTCGGCCTCCTATGTGTGCATACATCCCCTCACCATATTACAAGATGAAGTAAACAAATTCCGTGAGATGGTCTCAGAAGCGGCTACTAGAAATTAACCTTAACAAAGGAAAGGTTATGAGGCTAAGAATTGGAGTAAGATGAGCTCATATACAGTACAGGGTGATGGGAAGACAACGTCCAACTTGTGAGAGAGGTAGACTTAGGAGTGGACATAACTGGGGCTGTAACACCAGAGGCGGACATCAGCAGGATAACGAGGGCAGCAGACGCCACACTGGCGAACCTCAGGTTATCCTTCACCAACTTGGACAATGATCCCTCCCCAGCGCTGTGTACATCCTCTGAGCCTCATTGTTGGGTATAAACAATGAGTTCATACTCAACAATCAGTCTCGCGAACTCAATGAGTCTCAATGTCTCTCTCAAACTCATTGTATGAACAAATAGTTTTTTTTTTACCTTTTCAGAACTAGAAAAGGTAAAAAAAGTATGCAACAAGGTTCGTCCCTAAGCTAAGGGGCATCAGCTATGAAGAAAGATTGAAGGAGCTGGACCTAACCACACTGGAGGAAAGAAGGAATAGGGCAGACATGATTACGACATACAAGATACTAAGAGGTATAAACAAAGTTGATGTAGATGCAGCGTTTAAGTAACAGAAGAACGAGACGACATGCTTGGAAACACAGATGAGTCAGCTATGTCAGGAAGAACTTTGTCACTCTAAGAGTCGTAAATGATTAGAACGGGTTATCTTGAGGTTATCTTGAGATGATTTCGGGTTTTTTTTTAGTGTCCCCGCGGCCCGGTCCTCGACCAGGCCTCCCCCCCCCCCAGGAAGCAGCCCGTGACAGCTGACTAACACCCAGGTACCTATTTTACTGCTAGATGAAGTTAGGAATTAGATGAAGTTGTTGAAGCCAATTCGAGATATAATTTTAAATGTAAGAAAAACTAGTTTAAATGTCACTACACTGAACTACTGACGGTCGACTGAGCAGATACTCGAGCCCGCAAGCACAAATAGGCCACCACCCACGACTTCATCAAGCCTTCTGTAAAATCAATGTCATCAGACCGCCACATTCTCCTCCACAAGAAGGCAGATTTAATCTTGGAGTACGATTAGTCGAGTCCCTCAGACAATACACGACTCCAGTTGCCACAACCTAATTTATCGGTCTTGTTTAATATGGCAACACACTCAAGGTCTACACCCAGGTCCCGAGGCCCCCCCCCCCCCCCCCCCCCGGGGGTCCCTTCGGCCCTCCCCCCGGGGGTCCCTTCGGCCCTCCCGCCCCCCCGGGGTCCCGAGAGCGCTACCCACGCCCCCCCCCCCCCGGGGTCTTGAGAGCTCTCCCCCCCTCCCCAAGGTCCAGAGAGCCCCCCCACCCTCTCGTAATCTAATGCACCACTAACTCTACTTGCCGGTCGACCGGATGGAGTCACACTACGCCCACGGAGACAAGGCACCAGCCCGTCCTACAAAAATGGGGAGGTAAATGTAAGAAGACAAATAAGTGCAATTATGTACTATTCATAGCAGTTAGGAATTGTACTTATTTTCCCTTAGTATTAAATCGCACTGTCAAATATATTGTGAATATTTGAGTTTACCTGAAAAACTGAATAGAAAACCACAACCTCACCTAACCGTCTTAGTTTTTGAAGATAATAATTTTATTGCTTCTTAATTACAATTAGTACTTAACCTATAGCTGTATTGATATTACAGTTTTATAAAACTAATAAAACAAAACTAAAATATATCAATAAATTGTAAAGTAACTCCGGATATTTTAAAATTTTGCATAAAATCTATATTGTTTAATAAACGTGAAAAAGAAACTCCTGATATTTGAAACTTGCGTATTGCTAATTGAAACTGAAAACTTCATCCTAAAATTCTGAGTGTCTTAACAAAAAACGAGAATTAAATCGGGGGAGGGAGTTGAGCAAATGTAACAGCCCCATAAGTGCAATTATGCACTGCTTATGACAGTAAGACAGTGTACTTATTACACTTAGTATTAAATCGTAGTGTCAATTCGGAGGATGGGTTGCAAGGCAGACAACTGTCATGGGACTACACTTTTGTTTCTACCTTGGCAGCCACATACATCACCACCGCTGTTGAACAAGGTGATGATCCAATACATCCTGGGCACCCTCATCACGGCCCTTGTGGATTTGTTCATTTGATGCATCACGCTATTGTGATTTGTGTGTACCACCTCTGCTGGTCAAGCAGGAGCTGCTGCCACACTCACACAAATCAAACAAGTACACGGAGATAGATCCCTGATCCAACTTGGTTCCATATGACCCGAGACCTTGATCCACGGGGAGAGAGTGCCAGCAAGTGTCTGAAGGAGCTGTGTTCCAGGCTCGTCAAGACAACAAGAGGCCCAAGAACTTCCAGCACCTCAGTGTGGCCACCCAGAGGGACAATGTCCAATACATCCTGGGTACCTGCCCGATGGTCGAGTCCGAAGAAATCTATAGCCTCTAGGAAGCAAACTTCAGTTTGTTTCCTCTCAATGTTCACATTTTGTAACGAATGATTTATGCAACTGTGTAATCCTGTATCATTTAGTGCATAATAATAAAAATAATAATAATAATAATTAATAATTATCACTCTTCCTTCTATTTGGTCTTGAAGGAGGCCGGCCTCGGGTGAAAGAGGGCTGTGACGATCACTGTCAGGAACCCGTAGGTGCGGGACCGGGCCGTTCACCTCCCGGGGCTTGTGCGGCCCAGGCTCCGCTTCAGGAGGCTGGGGTCGTTCATACCCTGGATGGGGTGGTGGTTCTCTGCCCACGACCACGGCGGTCTCCGGGTTTGGAGTCCCTGAGCCTTTTATCACCAACTTCGAGATCAACTCCGGAGCTCACAGTTGCTGTGACGGCGCTGGAACCAATCGTATTGGCGTTTGCCTTTCCATTGGAGACTTTCTGTGCCGTGGAAAGGTGGAGGACCTGCTGCATGGGTAACAGCTTCTCCTCCGTATCAACCTACCCTGGCTTTGTGCCCTGGTGAGGCCATTCCAGACCGAGCACAACACCATAGTCTCCTGAGACTGATAGCTGCCTACTGTACTAATGATGATAATAATAAAGGAATGACAGGAAGAGTAAACACTCATATGTATTTAGTCAAATGGAAATTTCGATCGGAATGCTCTATATTCCCTTCCCCGAGGCTATGGGTCCTCATAATTGCACTACGGGCGGTACCAGTTTTACACATTTATGCCATGTCTAATAGCCAGAACGCACTACTTGGCCTAGTATGCAAGGCCAGATTTCCCTAACAGGCCGAGTGATTTTAGTTCTTTTAATTTCTTTTCAAATTTGTTTATTTAAATTAATAATATATTATATTTAGAAGAATTACTGACTTAGACATGATAATTTTAACATAGAAATTTCAAAGCTAACACAAATATAAGAAAATTAAAATAATATTATACAACAGAAAGCTTTATCATTCAATAAGATTTTTTTTTGACGCCAATACATAATTTCAGAAAACTGTTAGGCAACTTGGCCTATTAGGTACAACACACACACACTTATATATATATATATATATATATATATATATATATATATATATATATATATGCCCGAAACGCTATGCGTATTAGTGGATTTAGGTATTGTATGTACTAGCTCTATATATATATATATATTATATATATATATATATATATATATATATATATATATATATATATATATATATATATATATATATATATATATGTCGTACCTAATAGCCAGAACTCACTTCTCAGCCTACTATTCAAGGCCCGATTTGCCTAATAAGCCAAGTTTTCATGAATTAATGTTTTTTCGTCTACCTAACCTACCTAACCTAACCTAACCTAGCTTTTTTTGGCTACCTAACCTAACCTTACCTATAAATATAGGTTAGGTTAGGTTAGGTAGGGTTGGTTAGGTTCGGTCATATATCTACGTTAATTTTAACTCCAATAACAAAAAATTGACCTCATACATAGAGAAAAGGGTTGCTTTATCATTTCATAAGAAAAAAATTATAGTAAATATATTAATTCAGGAAAACTTGACTTATTAGGCAAATCGGGCCTTGAATAGTAGGCTGAGAAGTGAGTTCTGGCTACTAGGTACGACATATATATATATATATATATATAAATAAATCCAACAGTATGTTTGCAACTCTGCATCTATGTATGTACTTTTCCTAAATAAAATGTT